CATACCAATTTTTTTACATAAACCGATTTTATGAATGTTCAGCTTTATTTTATTATATTGGCGCGAACCCAGGGTACGTCATCTTCGGGGGGGTCCCACGCCCCTGAACTTGAAAAATTGAAATAGCTATAACTCAATGACGTTTTGCTTAATGATATGCAAATTTATTTTGGTAACTCTTTATATTCGTGAGGTGTCACGTGTCAAGTTTCGTTGTGATTGGTTATATTTGAAGAAAGGTATTAGCGGTTTAATGAAAAAAAATTAGTTGCAATAATTTCAATTTTTTATTGCAGGGTTAGCATTAGAGAGGTAAAAAACGTATATATTTTACATTTTTGAGACCAAGGGCCACGTGGTTACAAAGTGGTTTACTAAGAGTTCCCCAAAAGTGTTATGAGAATTTGAGCATGAAAAAAATCATATCTCCGTACAGTTTTGCTAAAACTTAAAGATATTTTGAGAGAATATGTGCATTTACATGGGTCACATGCTCAAGAAGTTTTAGCGCGAAATTTGAAATATTAAAATTTTCACAACCAAAAAATCGTATTTCCTATTAAAACATTATCAGAGCTAATTTCAAATGTATTACCAAAATGAGATTGCGCCACCCCACCACCTCCAAGTGACCAAATTTGATCTAAGGCTTTACTTTTTGAGTTATAAGATGAAATGTGAAGAGAAAAGCATTTTTTTGAGTAACCTGCACATTCGGATTTGTCATCAAAACTGTCTGAAGATCGAAACAGTTTTGAATGAAGGCATTCTACATAACTTCAGAAAATCAGCCTTTAACAAAGCAAGAAAGATAAGATATGATTTTTTAAAAACCGAGGTAAAAAACCATTAAAAAAAATTATAATGTATGCCAGTTTCATTTTATTTTACTGAAACTYTTACGACTCACCAACGTGTATCTAATGCACAATCATACAAAGTTTTSCTTTAGTTGAGTTAAAATTAGCCAAGTTATTAGCAAAAAAGTAAAATTCCAAATGTGCAAAAAAACACAAACTTGAAAAAAATCCAATAACTTCAGAACTAAAACGTGCAAATCCATGAAAATCACACACCAAGTGCACATTATATATACCTACCACATATCTAAAATCAAGAGTTACAGCGATTTCTTAAAAATGACAAAACCTCAATTTGATGAAAAAATGAAGTGTTAAGATATAATCGAATACTGAATCTAACCCCAAGATGTCTCATAAAAAATTGTGCAAGAAATTTTGACCCAAATTCAATGATCAATAATAACTTAATAAATATTCAATGGATATTMACCAAATTTTTACAGGTTAATCAACTTTACAAGAGCTTAAAATAAGCCCACTCACGAGTCAATTGAGCTAAACTAACTATATGACCATATTTGGTATTTTTGATTTTGGGCCCAGGGTTACCTGTGTACCCAATGGGAATGCTTAAAATGTCGAAATAACTCRTAATATATATCAAGYGAGTCATGTGCACATTTGGAAGTAGTCGTAAGGGTGTACTCGACGCTCCGTCATACTCTCAYCCGAGGTTTMAGGCTCGACACTGGTACTCGTATGAACAGCAGGAACAGCAGGAGCAGGAGGAGCAGCAGCAACGAGCGATGAGAGTRCACCTCGAATCATGCTGTGYGCGCTCTCTGCCTGACCCACTTTCCTGGTCATGTCRTACCAGCTCTTCKCCGTCTCCCTCGAGTGTTTCATGAGGATGGAGATGTTGGTCATGTCGACCTCACCCTTCCCGACCATCTCGAAGTGACTGACCCACATCTTCCGGATCTGCGTAGCGTTGATGGTTTTCTCGATGTGCACGCCACACCTCTTCACGAAAGAATGACACAGCGTCAAGATGAAAATGAGGAAGTTGCGGCTAAAGATCCTCGTTGCCTCAGAAGGTCGTGGCGGGTAGCAGCCAACCTGCTTGTACTGCTCGAAGGAATACAGTAGACCATCACGCCAGACCGACGAACAGACGATGGATCTCATGTCCGAGAGGAGCAGCAGATTGTCACGGTCCTGCTTCAGCCGATCGTATCGCTGACGGACGCAGTCCCCTTTAAGGGAACTCCTCCACTTGWCCTGGTATCCAGCCAGCCTCTTCAGACACTCTCTCGTWTCTGGATCGAGGGCGTAGCGAGGATCGTTAACGCGCCTCCCGACCAGAAACTCGAGGTACTCTTGAAGGGCGGTGGAGTAGGTCTTTAGAGTCGTCCCCTTTCGCTTTGGCTTTTCAAGCTTTCGTCAAAGAACTGCGCCCAGAGCAGCATCTCGTTTCCCCACACTGCCAGTAAGGAGCCATAGTGGACGGGCACGGCTTGGTTTCCCATTAGGTAGACTTTGGCACAGTCAGCTCGGGCGGCTTCATCAGATTTGTTTCCCCYGTGGGGCAGCTTCAGATGCTGGTGGAAGGCAGCAAGCGATTCCTCGAATGGTGTTAATCGAGGGCTCATAATGTCCGRAAGGACAAAAGAGCTTCGCTGCCGCCTAGCCGGTTGTGGTGTAGCTGCGCACGACACCTCCGCGTTCTCCTCCTCCTCCTCTTCATCGATGTCGAAGTCACCGTCGAGGCTCTCCCCTACATTTGAGATGGCATCACTCAGGTCGTCTTTGTCAGACTGGGTCATTTCGTCGTGGTTGGTTGTTGAAATGACGCTGCRACGTCGCTGAGGGCGCGGAGAGGGAGGCACGGTGTTAGCGTCGGAGTCGGAGTCAGCGTGGGTCTCCACGGGTACGATCTTCTTCTTCTTCTTAGGTGGCTCCATATCTTCAGGTCTCTCGCTCACCTGGACGCCACCGCAAGCAGCCCCGCCCATTAGTTCGAGATACCTGGCGGACCCTTTCTTTGACCAAGGCATGGTCCCTAATGGCGGACTGCAAGTGGCGCCCCAGGTTCGCTTGAGACCTTCCGCATATGGGGCACACCTTCAGAGGATTTTTGCTGGTAGCCTTCTTCGAGCGGTTGGAGTCCAAGTACGCGGCCAACTGGGAATAGTTAAACCCATGAACGTCGCGAAGGTGGCGGCGCAGGTGGCCTCCTCRAATGTGAGGGTTTTTGCAGCCGGCCACCTTGCACAACTGGACCCTGTTGCGGTCCTTTGCCAGTGGTGGAGGTTTCTGCAAAACAGCGAAATTTTATAATGAGAACTCTACTCTGAATGCTAAACATACAACATGATAATAATGCTTACTGCTGCTGCAATCAGCCTCTCAGTTTCAAGCTGGGGGGCCGGGTTAGCATCGCCAGAAGACAGAAGGGCAGTCAGCAAAGGACCAGGACCAGCAACAGGACCAGGAACAGGAAGAGGGGCAGCGGACACAGGTAACTGAGGTTGTGGCAGCTCAGGTGGTGGTTGAGCAGCAGCCACAACAGGTGGAGGTTGAGGTGGTTGGACAGCAGCCACAACAGGTGGAGGTTGAGCCACAAGCAATGGGTTGGCCTGGAAGATTTGGGTCGACACCGAGGCCGTGGGTGCCGTTGCCTGCACCCCACATTCTTGCCTCCAAGGGCCATAGGATGGACGTGGCCCGAACACCGTAATATTCGGTGGCAGCGGTTTGGAGGCTCTGTTGAATGTGGGGGCTAGCAACAGCACCCTCTTGGTGGTTTTGTTACCCATTACCCCGGCTAGTGGCTGCTGTTCATGCTGTAGGCCCTCCGAATCACTCTCCTCGACACGTTCATCCATGTCATCATCCATGTCATCATCCATGTCATCATCATGTTCATCATCGTCATCATATTCGATAACCTGCAGTTGTGTACAACAATGATCAATGTATTGATAGGCGGTACATAAGAAAAGCAAGGGATATTCTTACCTTCCTGGGCTTCTTTCTTTTTACCAAAGAGAGGGGAACGTTATCATCAGAGTCGTCATCAACCTTCAGTTGTGTACAACAACGATCAGTGTATTGATAGGTGGTATACAAAAAAGGAAGGGATATTCATACCCATCATCCATGTCATCATCATGTTCATCATCGTCATCATATTCGATAACCTGCAGTTGTGTACAACAATGATCAATGTATTGATAGGCGGTACATAAGAAAAGCAAGGGATATTCTTACCTTCCTGGGCTTCTTTCTTTTTACCAAAGAGAGGGGAACGTTATCATCAGAGTCGTCATCAACCTTCAGTTGTGTACAACAACGATCAGTGTATTGATAGGTGGTATACAAAAAAGGAAGGGATATTCATACCTTTCGGGAGAGTCTGGAGACGGGCATCTCCTCGTCATCGTAATGTGGTGCATCGGTGACAATGGGAGGGGTGACGTGTTGGGTAACCAAATCGATCTCCTATCAGAAAATATGACATCTTTTTCAGCATGTCAAAATAAAGAAAAGGAATTAAATGACAAATGCCTTACAACGTCATCCCACGGCAGCACGGGAATACTGCAACGCAGCATGTCAAGCTTCTTCATCTCTTTATTTTGTGCCACTGGGTCCTCGTCCCAGATGTTTTTGGGAATTGAGGACGACGGTCCAATGGCCTTGAGTAGTAATAGTTTGCGGGTTCTGGCACACGATTTGACCAGCTAGCCACCTGCACCGATTGAATCCACCCGATGATCTAGGCTCCAAATCCATCTTCCTAATTACTACTATATAACATTTTTTCTGATTTTGTTCAATCTTAGGTTCATTCATTGCAATTTGTCAGCGGGGTTTGTTTTATGTTTTTATTTATATTATATATAATGAGTGC